ATCTGTATTTGCTTGACGACTGAATTTCCCAAGTAAAAAGTCTCAAAATTCAGGTATTTGTAATAAGCTGAACTGATCTGTTGCTTTGATTAGCTATTGTTTCATCGTTGTGTTCTTCCTCTTTTTTTTTGTTGATGTGATCAACGATCAGACAAACCATTTGAGGTTTCTAGCCTTTATTTCCCAGCTCGGCTCTTCCCCAGAGAAAATGCTAGATGTGTTTATATTACGGTATTAAGGGATCGTACCGTGCATGATCCCTTTTCATTAAATTGTAGGCAGAATTGTAGAAATGTCAGAATTGCTTAAAATTTCAAAAAATTTGAATTTTTTTTCGGAACTGCATCTGTTGGGCAATTCTTGAGCTTGCCTTTCATCGTTCTTTATTTTCTTCGCTGCATCGACAAGTTGTATTTCATAATTTTTGCTTCTCCAGCTATGAATCTGGTAGTCCTTCCATTTACTCTGACCAGTATTGTGTCGCCTGATGGTCAGCCTATTGGCGACCCTAACGTTCTTCTTTTCATCTTTTGAAGGAATTACTGGCTAACAGTTCCTCCTCTTTCTCATAAATCTGTAAAACAGGTTTCTTGCTGAAGTCAAGAATAGTACCACACGTACTGTATTACTCATTTCTTTTCAATTTACTCAGTTTGCAGTATTTTGTGATGTGAACATGTATAATTCCGTATTTTTATTAAAGTGTTAAATCTCAAGGATTGTGCCTTCTTCTGTTGTAATGTGCTTGTTGTTGTTCATTATGATGCATCTAATTATGCTTGTTTGAAAATTAAAAATTCTCTGCCTCGACAAAGTTTTTTTTTGTTTCTCAGTTAAGCTGTATAAATTATTGACTGATTTGCTTGTTCCTGTCAAGGATACCAAGATCGTCCGGACATTCGGTACGGGGGAATCCCATGTTAGTGAATACACAGCAGCATCTCATGTTACTGAAGTACTGCTTCTGTCAGACCTGGGGCCAGAAGGTTTTTTTTATGCTACAGTTGATTTCGAATTCGCCATTTCCAGATCCCAGCCCTCCCTGCGAATCTTTTTCGCTACCGAGAAGTAAGTCACGGAGAGTGTATTTTTCGAAAGCTCGATAAAGAAAATCGATGATTTAGACATTTTTACGTTTCAGCTCTTCTGGATCACACATATTTTCGGGGTCTTAGACAATCATTTACGAAAGACACTTTTTAGACCAGCCGGGAATGAATTGTATATTCAGCGAGTTCAGAAAACCGCCTTCACCTTCCGTCCTCCGTCTTCTGCAAATGTTCGTGACCTAGCCGACCGACAAAGGATCTACGTCATTTAGCCATCAAATTCAACAATCCCAACCTCCTCCTGTGCTTCGAACAGAGCTAACGGTATATCGCCTCCCTAACCCTCCAACATTCGAACTTATCAATCGCTCTTTTTTTTTGCAGATGCGAGATAGAAATGCGGTAGGGTAAGTAGGCAGGTTGGGCGACTGGGGTTTTTGCTAGGTATTGCCAGCTGGATGGGACTACTGACTCCCAGCAAAAATACCTTTTTGGATATCAGACATTCCGTGTTAAGTTTGACACTTTATCATTTTTTCATCAAATTTTTCGCCCCAGGCGACATCTTCGACTGCGACGAATAATATGGGCGTCTTTTTTCCATCCGTTTTTTTTCCATATTTCCGTCAGGCAGCACTCTCATGCGCAAGGTCGAGATTTCGGCTCCGCCAGTTAGCCAACTAACTCGTTTGTGATTCGTTCATTCGTTTCGGTGGTAAATTAGTGTTGGCATGCCAGCATAGGCGGATCCAGGACGGACTTCTGGGGACGAGGAGTGCGAAAGAGAGTTTTCTTCAGTTTTAGCTTTAGAGCCGGACTTTTGTAGCAGTGGGCGAGAGAATTGTCGCCTCCCTCCCCTTTGGATCCGCTTATGCATGCCAGAGAGGCAAAACTGCCGTCAGTTTGCTTACAAGAAAGTCCTGAAAGTAGGAGTCATCAAAAGCTTTGTGATATGAATGATTTAAATTTAAATTCTATTTTTACAGTTGATCCTCGGACCCAAAACCGGAGGCGCCTACATTATTGAAGAAACGGGCTTGTGCTTACAGAGATCGTCTGAGGTTTCGTGGGGTTAAGAAAATTGTCTTGTTCAGTTTCCTGTATCATGGTAAGGGACTGTTACCGAAGACTGGTTCCTAAATTGGGAAGCCGATTATTGAAGACGGGTTTTTGTAAGACAGTTTCCACCTGCATAGGCTCAGTCTTTTTTTTTGCTTTTATTTATAGGCTCAGATTTATTTAGTTTACTTTTTTTATAGTGTTGTGTTGTTTTATTTCCCCCTCTTTGCTGCTGTCATCAGTTCTTGCCTCGAGCTCCTGACTTATATTCTCGCTGTCCTTCTCTACCCTGTTCGCAGCTCCTGCCTGCAAAGCAACTTGTGAGCTCCTTTCCAATCTCACTTTAACAGTATTGTGAAAACAAGCAGTATTTCGGCCCCTTTTCTCCCGGGATATTTGCGGCAAAAATCAGAAGCGCGCTTTCTCCTCCCTTCCACTTATTATCCCTTCGTCCTCCAAATGTACGTGACCTGAGTAACCGACAAAGGATCTACGCCATGTAGCCATTAAATCCACCTACCTTGGCTCCCTCCTTTGCTTCGAATAGAGCTGGTGCTACTTACCCTCCTCATCTCCCACATTCAAACTCCCGCCATTCGCTTGTAGAATGGACCTACCAGAGAAAATTTTTCGCAAGTCGTGCATGATGCCGGCCGGGACGAGTTTTAGCAATCTGGGCCTTTGTAGATGAGCGGGAGGATGGGGGTTTCGTGTCACGTTGTTTCGAGGAAGTCTTTTTTTTCAGACGTTTTGTAATTTTAGTGCTTTTAATAATTTCAGGAAATGTTATATCCACCAACAATAACCGATAACGATGTTGTGAATATTGTTGATTCGTCAGACGATGAAGTTGATGAGGTAGGTAAACACTGGGGGTTTTTACCGGCTGTTGCCAACTTCAGTTTTAGCTTTACATCCCGGACTTTTGTAGCAGCACTCGGCGAAGGGCCCATCGTCTCCCCGCGCCCCCTGGGATTCGCTTATGCAAGCCCAGAGAGGCAAAAGTGCTGTCAGTTTTCTTACAAGTCTTGAAAGAGGGAATCATCAAAAGTTTTTGCGAAAAAATGGTTGCTGGTGGGACTTGTAACTCTTCTAGATTCTCCCCCACCCCCTGCTCCTCTCACATTGAGGAACAGTACGGGCTGTGGAGACCCTGCCAGGATCATATTAATGGAAACTATAAATAGCCCACCCAGAGGGCTGCAAACACCGGCCGACGTAATTGAGGGTCAGAAATTAAAATACAAACAAATTAAAAAATGGCCCGGCCGACATCAGCAGATCGGTGTACGAAAGGGAAGAAAATCGGAATAGGCTGGGGAAGATTGTTGAGTCGAGGAATGTACGTAAACCGTATGTCATGTAATGCAGGACAGTTTTGGTTTTCGCTGGACAATTTTTTTTTCTAGGGTCTGGAAGTAAGGAAGAAGAAGAAGCC